CAAGCATCATAGCAAGAGCAGCTGTGAAGAGAACGCTGGATCTTGTGATGCCCAGTCTATAAACACTGATTCAAAACCAAGGATTGCGTTCACATCCTTATGAACTTTAGTCATTTTTTTTCCTTTTATTTTTAAAGGAAGCCTTGTTACACATGAAACGGGCATTGAACCACACACTTCTGAGACTGAAAATTGGAGGTTTTTGTCTTAAGTTTCTATCATTTCAGAACAATAAAGATTCAGATTTGTAACAGTCTTAAAACGTGAAGGATATGACTATGGGTCCTATACTCAAAACCAAAAAAATGTTGAATGCATCAGAAATGTCCAATATGAGTGACTGAATTTCAGATGTATGTTACAATTGTAGTGGAATAAGAATTTGGTAGATTGGTTCTTGTGGAATGAATGCCTTTAGGAAGGGTTATTAACCTTAAGCCTTGGCTGGTGCTTTGCAAACACCTCTTATCACTTGTGCCATAACTGAACAGCTTTGTGGAGATAAAAGCCTTTATTAATTTATCAGCAAATCCTACTACTTGTTTGTTTTGTTTTCTAGCGGAACATTCATAGTGGCCTGTTTTTGTTTTCTTAGGCACTAGGAAGATGCCTTTGACAAAAGAACTGTAAAACTTGAAACATCATTTGTGTTTATTATATATAGGTCTACATCTTAAAGAATAGGAAAATTAAGCTAAATCTTCTGATATGCATTATGCTGAGAATAAACTATTATGATTCTCCTTCCTCTCCCATCTCCAAATGTGGAGGATATATGTTTTTATTCTATTTTCAGGTATACGCACTCTAAAATTAGGAAGAGTTGCACTACTTTACATGATATGTAGCCAGCTACCAGCAACTGATTTACACCCAAGTACTATTCGGATAAATATGTTTAGCTAAATATAAATGTTTGCAAGACTTTGTTTTGTGAAACAAATTATATGTAGAAGAACTGCTAGTAGGTAATTGGATGAATAGTCAGGAAAAATGTAGACCTTCTACACAATTGTGAGATCACCTGCGTGATATGATACAGTCTTTAGAGTTTACCATACTAGGTAAAAACATGGTAGTATTTATCTCAGGATAATGAAAATGTGTTGTGCACTGTATAATCAGATTCAGGTAGAACAAGATAATCTCTTGTCCATATGGTGCATTCTAAGTATTTTTATTTTTTATTATTATTATTGGTCACTAACAGCCCTTAAAAATCTTTCTGGTGCTGGGAGATGTTAGACAGCAGGTGGAATTGTGTGTTAGCTGCAGAATTTTTATGAGCTGACCAAGGATGATATAACATCAATGAGTTTGCTGTTCTTTGGCTCTGCAAAAGAAAAAGGCAGTTTGAAGTTGCAGGAGGAAGTACATCAAATACCTCAGACTTGCTGATCTGACTCAATTGCTGCTCCTCATAAGTATCCCATGATACTTCAGAAATTTAGGAAATGTTTTCCATAGCCCTATATGAACTTATCTGCTCTATCGGGCTTTTTTATGGATGTGCTGAAATCCACTTCTGATTGATGCCAAACTATTTTTTTTTAGGAAGTCGTATTGTAGACTTAGACATAATTGTTGTGGGAGTCAGTTAAATTGAAGTAGATGGTGCTTCCAATATCTTTATTTTCCAAGGTGCAGCATTTCTAACTGGAGAACATAACGCAAAGTATTTCATGATTTCCGAAGTAATGGATTTCTAAGGGTTAGACACTAAATTCGTTAGTACAGCAAAAAAAAACAACACCTCAAATGAACAGATGAGTACTGCAGAGATGAAGATGGTTTTCAAATGCCTTAATAAGGCAGGTGAAGAGATTAATTGCCTGATGTATTTAATATTCACAACCTGAATACTTGATATAAGCCTTACTGTGGAACAGCTATGGTTCGGATGAGTTATGTTCAACCAATCTTTTCAAAATGGACAAATATTTGGGCGGGGGGTGCAGCCAGATTTGACACTGATATTGTTGTTTCCCCAAGTGAAATAGTGCTTGTTTTCATTCTCTGATGTAGATGGGGAATAAAAAATATGAAATTCAATCTAGAGATGTACATTTGTGAGTGAATCATGTATTTATTACTCCTTTCCCCTCCCTTTCTGCCATAATGAGGTTGTATCAGTAGATCCCTACCCTAATTTGGGCATAGCCCAAATTAGGGCTATGAGTATACATTGAACTGACGTTTGAGAAAAATATGCATAGGAATGGGGATTTGCTCCTGGCATCCAGTTTCCCAAGCTGTGCTTTATAAAATCTCAGGTTTTCAAGTTGAAAGATGCAAATCGGTAAAATACAAATAATGTAAAGAGAACATCTTTTTAAAATCCAAGTTATAGGTTCTGTAGGAACAAGGTCATCAATAAAGTGTAATCAATCCATTTATATCATCTGTTTCTTACAAAGGTATCAGATTGCTATGAATAGCTTTTCTAAGGTTTTAGTGATTGGTTTTTAAAGTTGTGGTATGCCAATTAAAAATACAATGAATACTTGTTACTTTATAATTCATTTTTACAAGAAAATGGAAAACGGTAAATGGAAGCCAGTTAAGAAAATATATTCCCTTCGTCTCTTTCAAAACTAACAGCTCAGGAAATTTCTAACATTTTCTTTGAGAGATACCTGTCTCCTATTGTACTGTAGTCTCATCTCTGTGAAATATTTTAAGATACTCGGGTCAAATTTTATATTGTTTAAAAAATATGGGGTTCAAAGTATCAAAAATAAGCTGCTAGAACAATGTAGCACAGTAATACGCAGGACAAATTAGAAATAAAAATTATGAAAGTAAAGATTAAAATTAAAGGTTTAAATAAGGTGAAAATCAGGCAATACAATGTATAATTTTTAAAGCTAACAAACATTCAGGGTTCATTTCAGTTAAACATAAGTAATATAGGAACAAATGTACTAAAGTGGAATATATAATAAAAAGCAGGTAAGAGATGGACAATGTTAGAAGGCAGATGTTTGCAGTAGTCCAGGTATAAATATATACCAACTAAAAATATTACTAAATAATAGGTAAAGAACAGTTTAATGGGCATAAGAGGAAAGACATAGCAACTCTGTCATACAAAATAAATATAACCAATTGGCAGAAGTTGGGGACTTATGTCCAGAAAACATTTTTTTAAAAAAAATAAATGCCAGACAAAGAATAGATTCCATGTATATACAGGTACTCCTTGACTTTCAACCACAGTTGGGACCAGAATTTCTGTTGTTAAGCAAAGCAGTTATTAAGTGAGTTGGGCCTGATTTTACAATCACCTTTTCCAAAGTTATTAAGTAAATTGTTCCAATTCAATAAATCCCATGGCTGTTAAGCAAATCCAACATCTCCCCATTGACTTTGCTTGTCAGAAGCTGGCTGCATGGTTGCAAATGATAATCACATGACTCCGGGATACTGTAACCATTGTAAATGCCTGCCAATTGCCAAGCACTGGAATTTTGATCATGTGACTGGGGATGCTGT